AAATATGCGAATGGGAATTCCTCAGATAATCATAGAATATACCCAAAAGAATATTCTATGTTGAATGTTCCTGGAATATTCCAATAAACATATTCTAAAATTAAAAAAAGTGACCCAAGTAGGGAATCGAACTCGTGACCTCAAGACTATCAGAGCAACGCCTTGACCACTAGGCCAGTAATCGAATTGAATAATGTTATACATATCAAGTTCTTGTGAGAGCATTGTTCGAAATCGGATCATAAACACTTTTTGTTTCAAAATCCCCTTACATCTAATTTTGATGTTTGATACTCACATCTCTGAAATAATAAATGTTATTTATGTGTTGAGAATCATAGGAATATTCATGGAATATTTCATGAATATACACCACAGAATATTCAGTTGAGAATATTTCATGAATATAAAACAGATAATATTCAGTTGGGAATATTCCTGGAAGATTCATACCTGAATATTCCCTGAACATGTCCGACTATTCACTTTGGAATATTCCTTTTAGATGTTCCAGAGGCATGTATATATTCTAGGAATAATCGATGAATATTCGGAATATACTCCTCCTTTTTAGCATATTTAGAGAATATTCTATGAATATCCAGTGCTGTCTGGGCTATGCATAACGGAGACATGGTGCACTGACAATAATATAAAAGCTATCACTTTTGAGAATTTCAATTTAGCTGGATACTTTAACAGAAAAACTCATATACATGGTGGTGTTGCGATATACGCAAGAAAATCAATAAATTTCACTGTACTGAATGAAGAAAAATTTTGTGAAGAGATCCACTTTGAATGTTGTGGTATATCATTCAAAATCGACGATGAACAATATTGTTTAATAAACATATATAGATCTCCAAATGGAAGTTTAGATTCATTCATACACAGATTGACAGATATTTTGAATAAATATTGCTCACTGAAGCGATATAAAAATGTGATCATTTGCGGTGATATGAACATTGACTTTTTGAATCTGAAACGTAACAGCGCGAAAGAGAAGGAGAAACAAATATTCAAGGACTTATTGGAAAGCTATCAGCTAACATTCAATAATACATTACCGACTAGATCATACACAGATAAAAATGGTGAGTGTTCTTCTTCGCAGATTGACTATTTCGCAACAAATCTAGCACCTGACAGATTCAGCGAAAAAGTTGAACAATTGAATATCGGTGATCACTACGGTATTATTTTCACACTGAATTTTTCAATTAAAAATCGAGATCAAATTAAAACAAAAAGAACTAAAATCAAACGAGACATGCGTGAAGTTAACATAGAAAGATTCAAAGATTTAATGCAAAAAGAAAATTTTCAATCTGTGTATGAATGTGAAAATGATGTAAATATTGCCAACAACAGTTTTTCAGGTATTTTATTGTATAACTTGGATACAACGTGTCCACAAATTGAAATAAAAATAAGTGATGACGATAACCATACAAAAAGTTGGATAACAGACGATCTAAAATAACAGGAAGGCAGACAATTGAAATATTTATATTGGGAAGCAAAAAATGAAAATGATGACGCATTGTTCAATCGATATCGTGAAAATAAAAAACAACACAAAAAGAACTTGAAAAACTCGAAGTGTATGTATTACCAAAATAAAATTAGACAATTAGACAACATTTATGAGAAACAGAAACAAATATGGAAATTGGTCAACAGTAAACGAGGAAAAAGTCAAAAACACATTTACACACATGAAATCAATACCAATAACGGAATCATAACAGATCCTGAAGAAATTGCAAACTCCTTCGCGCAATATTTCTCCGGTACTGTTTCGGAAAATATCACCAGATACTTCGAAAACATATCATCCCAGCATATGACTGATTCATTCAAATTGCAAACTTATTTTTTTCATCCAATCACCAGTGACGGTGTGTTTGAAGCTATCAAGCAATTAAAAAACAAGAGTTCAGTTGGTATGGATTGCTTTTCCACAAACATAATCAAAACAATTGCCCAACATATTGCACAGCCATTGTCTTTCATCATAAATCTCTTTGTTACTACCCAGACATTTCCTGACTTACTGAAAATTGGAAAGATTATTCCTGTTTTCAAGAATGGTGATCGCTTGGAAATTAATAATTATAGGCCAATTACTATACCGAGCGTTTTATGCAAAGTAATTGAGAAATGCATATATAACCAACTTACCCCATTTCTGATGAAGTATAATATAATAACCGAATGTCAAAATGGATTTTATCCGGGTAGATCGACAGAAAGTGCAACAACTAATTTCATGGAATTTATCCATAGCCAGCTGGATGAAGGGAAGTATGTTGCTGCACTTTTTTTCGATCTATCTAAAGCGTTTGACGCTATTATTGACCTCAATATTCTACAGGAAAAACTTCATATTTTGGGCATAAGAGGAGTATTTTTGTCTTGGATAATATCATATATCCGATATAGGAAAATAATTGTTCAGATAGAACAAACTACATCTCAAATTTTTGATGTCGACCTTGGTGTCCCACAAGGGTCAATTTTAGGACCCTTGATATTTTCACTTTTCATCAATGATATTTCAAAATTCATTGATGCGGGTTGTTTAGTACTATTTGCCGATGACACATCTATCGCGGAGGCAGCAGACAGTACCGTGGAAATCGAAAATAAAATAAATTCAACTGCCAACAGGTTTGTTACTTGGTGTCATAATAACAGGCTGATGATTAATGCCGAAAAGACAGTACTTATTGAGTTTTATGGAAGAAAGATAGGGACAACACTTGAAGTTTTTGTTAACGATACGCGTATCACTTCTTCTGAATGTACCAAATTTTTAGGAACATTTGTCGATAATAATATCAGCTGGAAAACGCATGTGAACTCAGTCTGTAAAAAACTGAGCTCAAACTTCTATGCAATGTTCCAATTGAAAAATATACTTGACAAAAATGCCCTTATTGACGTGTACTATGCCCTGATACATTCTATTATATATTACAACATCATTTTATGGGGAAGTAGCACCCACATTGACAGAGTATTCATAGCTCAAAAGCGTGTTATACGACTTATATTCAATTTAAAACGAACCGATTCATGTAGACCCAAATTCAAGGAGTTCGAAATACTTACAACACCATGTATCTACATATATCACTGTGTTGTATATATATAAAAAATGCAAAGTAAGTTACAAACAAACTCTCAGTTTCACAGATATCCAACAAGAAGTGGTGACTTGCTCAGAACAAAAAAACACAGAACAACTTTATTCGAAAAATCACCTTCATTTTCTGGTATAAGGTATTTCAACTGTCTACCTACCGAAATTAAAACAATAACTTCACTCCACCTTTTCAAAAGAAGAGTCAAGACATTACTAGCCTCTGAGGGTTTTTATTCAACCGATGAATTCCTCAATTATAAATTTTAAAATGTTTTTATTGTTTGTGATCTTGTGTTATAGTATAATGTTCCCACTTTATTCCTTTCTTCAATTTTTTTTACATATTATCTACAAAAGTGAACGTTTCATATGTGTTATATATTGTATTTTGTATTGATACCTATATAAATTTTTATGACATATCCTATATCATTGTAAAGTGATCTATTTGGGATGAATAAAATATTGTATTGTATTAAACTTATTGAAACTATGAATGCATTGAACAATAAGAGAATGAAAGTTCTTTTACTATATTCATATCATAGAAAACCAGCAAGAATAAATTATTATTCGCCCTCAATGTTGCTGAGTAGATTCATCACTTCGTCATTGACAGGTGAATTTTACCAAAACTGTAGCCTATTTTTGGGCATGATGGATTCTAACTTCGTCAAAATTTCTTTATTTCTGGCTTAAGCTATACCTCTTTCCGGCTTCTTCTCTTTTAAAAACGGAACTCCATTCTGGAAATTATATGATTTCAAAAATTGAGAGTAATTTCTTCTGCGGAAAAACACGTTTTATACGTTGATGTTTTTGTACCTCTCGTTGTTGTGACCTGCACCATGTCCCTTATATAGGGACGAGGATTTTGCTCATTCATTTTGTAGACCGAAGAATAGTCTCCGAAATCGAGAAAGTCAGTTAGAGTGATAACTTTAACATTCAAGAAATTAGCCTTCTGACTGCCTCCACAAAATCTGGGAAGTCATATATTTTTGGATTTCTCTTCATAGACAACTGCACTTGGTGGTGGAAATTATCGGCGGACATGTAAATGACCTGGCTCAAAATATTTGAATGATATATTCTCTGCCGAAATGTCTGCTGAATCGATGATGTGTATCAAGAAGAAAAAAAGGGTCCAATTTTCATTTTGCGCGCAGCAATTATCTACCCACAAAAACAATTATCACAAGTTTCACAAAGATTGTTTTTTCCATGGTCTGGATTATGCAGCAAGAACATTTCGCAGATTTCACATTCTTCATGCCCTATTTGTGTAAAAGAGATGTTCATTTCTTTGGTGATAATATTACGGTAAACTTCATAGGAGCATTTAATTTTATGTTTTTCTTGAAAATCTTGATACATCACAGTGATTGTAGTATCGCTTGAAAGATATAGTTTATTGGGGGTATGCTCTCTTCTGTAATGGGATACTGCTGGGTGGAAAGATTCAACATGAGCTTTCATCAGTTCTCTATCAATTTTTTGTGTTTTCACGTGCTTTCCCTGCCGACTGCCAGAAAAAGAGAGTTTGCTCCTTCCTCGGTTATGTTTACTCGTGTAGCAATCTTGATCAATTCGATCGTTACCTTTTTTATAGCCGAGGGTGGTCAGGAAGAAGTGTTTGCATACTTCAGTTCTTTCACTAGACGAATCCTCAAAGGAGTATCTCAAAGTATTTTTTCTTCGAGAATCAGCAGAGCTCCTATGACGTTTTACATCTGTTGCAGTTATATAACTTGAAACAAAATTTCTTCTTCCTGAAAACGACATGTTCCAATATTCAGAGTTGATATCATTTCAATGAATTTCAGTGAATTTGCATTTCTTCTTACACACACAGGAGGGTTGCACCGAATGCTTCAATTTTATCCTCATTTCTTGCACATTTTGACCCTTCCAGTCGCTTTCGCTTCCGGATAGAACCTTTCTTTGTGTATTCAATCACATCTCCACTTCGATCATTGTTCTTCCTGTCAGGAATGACATCATCTTCTGATACAATCTCATGTTCCATCACCTCATCAACATCTTGATCAGAAATTTCAAAATCAGGATCTCTAACAGAATCGTCAGAATCGAAGTCTTCCGGAATAGCATCTCCTGGCATCTCAGGATTTTCAGGACCTTCATTTCATTATCTTCTCCCTGCAGGTTATCAAATTCATCCGATATTCTCTCGCGATTCAGTTATTTGTTCGACTCTCCGTCACGTTACTGAACTTTTCGTCACGGCTTTCCATAATTATTATTCTGTAAAAAAAAATCTATATTTTTCTCATTGATAAAGTATGGAATGAAATTTTTGAGCACATGACGTTAGACAGTATTAGAATTGTTCTTAAACATTTTACAATACAATGTGTTTCACAATATTTCGATGATGATAAGATAATTACTACTTCGATTTCAATATAAATATTGATGAATATTTCCGAACGCTAAGGAAAGCATCCTACTATAGAAACTATGTACATCAGAAATATCATTTCTCAGAAAAATTGCAAGAACCGGCAATACTGTAATAGAACTATTCGACTAGCGACATATTGGTGGATGAATATCAAATTATTTAATAACCAATAAATTCTGTATGACTCCAGAATGATTTACTATTTCTATGTTACCCACTATAAATATAACATAGGAAGACGTAGTAATTTACCCTTCATAATAAAATACACTGCACATCAATTGTTTTTTACACGATTATGTCAAATAATACAAAATACGAATGCAAATATCTAACGCCCAAAAACAAATAGGGAATGAAGTATTCCTTGCATAATTCAGTCAGGCAAAAAGTCGTACTTGAGCAGAGTAGATATAATTCATGGCTTTAACGTGGTAGGTATATCTATAATAATTTGTATTTACCACTTCATAGATGTGGACTGGGCGTTGATCCCTATTATCGTAACTACATTTGACGAAAAAGTGGAGTTACCACTTTCAAGCTTAGCACGGCAGTATTTTAGTCCGCTCAAGATTATGCCAATCTGATGAATATATAGATTATGCACAGGCTTCACTCTCATATTTCGTCAGTTCTTTTGAAAGACTTTATGGAGAATAGTATGTATTTCATAATGTCCACAATTTGCTTCATCTTTGCATCGAAGTACGAAAGTTTGGGCCACTTTTTAGTGCATTTCTTTTCGTAAATTTCATGTCGTCCATCAAGAAACTCTTGAGAAAAAGTGAGAAAGCATCGAAACAATTAGTGAAAAGATATTCAGAAATTGGTTGCATTGAAATTCCTGAAAAAAATCGGTCCAGTGACTCTAAATTGTGCTCCAGTAGTGAACATTCAAATGGGCCTTCAGATAACCATTTCAATAATAAATATGATTCTCAATATCAAATAATGACCTTCCAGAATTGTATCTGCGAATGTGAAAGCAGGTGTGACGATTGTTGTTTAGCGAAAAATAATTGTTGCATTGTGATGGAGAATATTTTTCATTTATATTGTATATTTATTGTTATTTATAAAGTTGGAAAAAAACTTGAAGAGATTGGAAGCCTCTACAAGTCACCGTGTGACTCTGTACTTTTGGACATCAAAATCATATGCGATGAAGAAAATGCTAGAAGAATGCGTTGGCCAGTAACTGATATTAAATGCAAAGTATGGAAGATGTCCTACAGAGAAAAATATGTTGTATTTCCATTGATTCATACTAACTGAAGTAGTCACTTTTTCCATGTTAACAATATTTTTCCCCAATGAACATACTTGACAATGAGACCCTGAGTTATACAAATATCTAATTTCATGCAGAAAAAAATAAAAATTTGAAAATATTCAGTAGTGGGGTTTGCCGATGGCTTGACATTGGTGCCATCTGTCTGGTTGAATGAAGAAAATGATACCTACATCCAGCCATATAAAAAGCCAGAGTCAACTAAATAAGGCAATTTTCAAAGAACAGCTACCCATTGAATTTGAGGAATGTAATACACATACTGTGATGAGAATATATGGAACATCAGGTGAGTTTTCATTCTTCTGGAATATAACATATATTTTATGAGTTGAATTTAGTTGATTAGCTATGATACAAAATCTCAGGCAAGAGCAAAAAAAAGAGACGTCAAAATGACAAGAAGATATATTCTTCATCAGAAGAGGAAACTGAGAATGTGGCTAAACTATGTAGTCAATTATCCTCATTTCCAAAAATTTCAAATTTGAGAATATCAGGTGTTAATTCTCTGTTACATGGTACATAGGGTTTTGGATCCTAGAAAAAAATCAGTTCCCAATGAAAAAAAATATGATATGTACACCAAATAGGAGAGTCGAGATAAATCAAAACAAAAATTAGTCCCACCTCAACTGGGTCATACACATGCAGACATTTTATCTTCTGAAAATGCATCAAGAAATGGTAATTTTTTCTTATTTTGCCATCACGTGACTCTGTTCCCATTTTAATTTTATTCTTTATTTCTAGTTTCGAAAACTGGTTCTTTCAAAATCAAACACATTAATGAAGAAAAGTAATCATATTGAAGAAAGGCTTATTGCATTGGAGCAGTTGAGACAACATAAAGCTGAAGATGAGGAAGGCATTGGTATTCCTTTGACAAATTCAGCTGAACTAGATGATTTTTAATAAAAAATTAAGACTCATTCTGAAAAATGGTAAGGATAACCAAATACATAATATATTTATACATACATTTATTCATATACTAATATGCTTTTTTCTCCCAGATTGATGTTCTGAAGAGGAGTGGAGGTTCAGATGTCAACTCCATTATATATGGGATTATGAAACAACTTCTTACCAATTCGCTTGCCCAAAAATTTAGCTGACTTGGTTTCAAAGGAAATAAAAATTTCAAGGAACTTCGTCTGGCCAAACAGATAACAAGTATGTATATAGGGTGTCCCAAAATTAAATTACAATATCTCACTAGCATAATTGAATGAATTGTCAAAATGTTATATCGATATTGGCCATGAAAGGGTTATTTTTCAGTATGGAGGATTTCTGATATGAGTATATTGTTTGAAAAAATTCCCAAAACGTCAAAAGATGATTGAATGAAAGTCTATCAAACATCGTGCCTACCCAGGAAGCATAGGGAGAGGAGGTAGGTGTTGGAATTTTTAACTCGTGGAGGTTATAAGCTCTTGAGAATACTTCCATTGGCAGAGAATTCCAAAGCTTTGCCGTTCAACAGACGAACGAGTTTTGGTAAAGTGTTGTTCGAGATTTTTCAAGGTTGACAACGAAAGAATGTGCTGACTGGGCCTGTCAAGTTCGTCTGAGCAGTATTGCTGGTGATGCAATGATAGCAGAGAATAGACAGTTTTATAGAAACATTTCGGATACATTTATCTAAGAAGCATTTATCGCGGAAATGATGCATTTTATGGAGATGCCTTCTTCCTGTTCTTCGAAGTACTATTTTTTGTATATCTAATTCTATTCAATCAATCATCTCTCTGTTTCGGAAGTATTATTAATAATCATCTTCAGTATCTAACAGCCAAATTTTTTTCAGAAACTGTTTGTATTCATAAAAATACTATAACCGATGATGTCATTGCGAAGGCGATCAGCAAATGGATAGCTCAAGCAAAACTGAGAGCATCCAGGGAAGAGATTTTACTGGGCAGAAAAGTACAAGATCATATTTAATGTCGCGGCTGCCGTTCCATAGCCTAGGCGTAGCCGATACTAGGAAACCAGTCAAGGCATTACATCTTCTTTTCTGCCATGTGAAACATATGATTTTCTCTTCAAATTCTTTTCTATTTACGGCAAAGTCCAAATAATCCATCATTTTTTGTTCACCCGAAGTCATTGTCGTTTTTGATAACAAATTTGATTCAAATTCCTTGGAACGTTGCATAGCAACAACAACTTTTTGCTTTGGTATTAAATAATTGTTTGTGTGTACTTTAGAAATCTTAAGTTCTGGTTTTGCTGGTTTTGCCTAACATTATTTGATGTTGATAACCTCATTAAAACAGCTCAATGTTGGAAGTACATTGTGAAAATTGAACATTGGGTCATACACATGCAAAGTATAGATTATTTCAAGTATCATGAAAATACAGGATGTCTCAGAAGAACGTGCAATAAATTATACAGGTTGAATTAGAATCCAAATAGTATAGGCCGTTGGAATCAACTTACCTCTATAAGAAAATGCACCGTAGAGCCGTGAGAGGACGATGAAGAATATAATTGTTCGAAGATATTCTTAAATATTTTGAACTTCTGACTGAAATTCAGACGACTTTTCACATTGATCGAAATGATATATGACATGTCATATATTCACAACCCCTTTTGAAAAATGTTCTCTTAATTTCATGGCAGTATGTACCTTTGAAGGATTCCAAAATATTGAAGTCAATCTGAAAAAAATATCCTCCATCGGCCTATTTTGAATTCTAATATCTGTGTATGATAATTATCAATATTTCTATATAGTATATCAAATATAGATTGAATATTGCATATCATTTCTGCAATTTCCAGCCAAACTATCCATTTCTGGGGGATATCCTGGAATAACATTTTTATTTTCAATTTGCCACTTTTATAACTACTTTACAAGAGCATTGAATTCATCAGAAGCACTCTATACAAACCTTATGTGTAAACATTATTTGAAATCAGCTTTATCACTGTTTATATTTACGGATTTTGTAGTTTGCAGGCAAATAAATATCTTATCTTAAGATGATCAAATTAATTTCATTAGCTGAGTGAAGAATTCATTACACACATCTGCTTACATGATGATGGAGTAACCCAGGCCTCAGTAGGTTTTTGAAAGTAATTTTTATATAAAAAGGTATAATTTATCATCATGCAAAAATAATATCAGAATATATCATTCAATAATTTTTGAAGAAAACATAGTACTCAATAATTGGGTAGGTGAGTAGCTAATACCTATGTGAAATCATATAAAACAGATATCCATAAACCAAGCGAATTGATATTTACATTGGGAGATTACATATATGCTCAATGAGTTTGAGGAAGAAACTTCTTCCTGGAAGGAGAACCCAACCTGTGCTTCCACATTCATTCATCATATCAATATAAAATCACCACTTACCCCAAAAATTCAAGTGGATTGATCCTTTTCTG